CCCTATTAAGAACCAGTAAGTTAAACACCACTAGGCCATGGGTAGTCTCCAAGATTGCCGTCCCACAACGGGTTCATGTGGGGAGGGGGGGCGGTAGAGGCCTTATGTATGCAACAGTATGCATGTGTGTATATGTATATGCATATGCACTTTGGGATGGTGGATAACGTCCCCTTTTGCTTGAGTAGGGAACCTATTCATACCCAATCTTGGAGACCTTTGAGGTACCACCCAGATATACATGAGTAGCATTTTTTTGGTGATACTATGGTACCCAATATAGAGTAAGATTATATCCTCCTTTTGGGTATGTATTTTATATGAGGAATATTATCTTACTAGGTTCAACCACCAAAAAAAACACTACCGACATGTGTGTTCTTCGAGTTGCCATGCGCGTCTGATTGTTCAACACCTTCATTCTCAGGGTGCCAAATATTAGAGCCTAAGCCCCTAAACCCTATACTTGCTTAGCCAATATAAGAACTTTAAACTGTTTGGGCTTCCTCTTTTGGTCTTTATAATAAAGTTTGCCACTCTTTTGGGCCTGGTCATTTGGGAAGAGAGTATATTATACCCCACTTATTGGGGGGTGCTTAAGCAGCGATCCATGGTTTCGTCATGGACCTCCTTGTGTTGACTTGGTTGATTTGAGGGTTCCCCAAGGGATTTAGGGGCTTAGGGTTTAGGGTTTAGGGGTGCAGTAGGCTGCAGGTTATTCTGCGGTGCAATACAGTACGTTACCTACATCCCAGGCCAGAAGAGAAGTTCTTACTATAAAACTACAACTTTGTATCATAGAGATACTTTGGACCTTTTGGGTATGGATATCGCGACGTCTCCACGATACCGAAGAGGGGTCATGGGATGGATGTCTCACATTCAGGGAGTGTTCCAAATTCAGGTCCTCGTGTTGGGTCCCCATTTCAACATTTTAGTTACTGTTATTTACAGGACGCCCCCAAAAGAAGCCATCCTGTTGAAAAGCAAATATCAGTGGTTGCTGTTTCTGTCTTTGTCCATCTCCCTAAACCCTAAACCCTATCATCATCCCCAAGCGCTGAAATACCACAGGCTGTCATAGGGATTGTTCCCAATAAGCATGAGGTTCTAGGTTGTTTTAGGGTTTTAGGGTTTTAGGGTTTAGGGTTTAAGGTTTAGGGTTTAGGGTTTAGGTTTAGGGTTGGGGTGGAGTATTTCGGGATTCTATTGCTTTGGGGTCTATATTGGAGTCCCCTTACCACTATATCTGAGGTTTGCATTGGTCCCCCCCGCCCCCTTCAGAGCCCCCTCGAATAGACCTATGGTCTCTGTTCTAAAGACTTTTGAAAGGAAACCCCCAATTTTGGACCCAAAATCCTTTCCTCCAACCCCAAACCCTAAACCCTATATCCCTTTGCCCCAACCCTAATCCCTCATCCCAAAATTTCAAACATGAAGCCCCAACCCCAAAACCATGCCCCAGGAGTGAACTTCATCGTAAGGGCTGGGAAGGCCATTGACGAGTGCAAGTGCGAAATCCGGGTCCAGTTCAAGGAAGCGGAGGCATGAATTTGGGAGAAACCTGCACTTACCTGTGCGTAAGGTGCTTAGGGATTAGGGTTTGGGGTTTAGGGTTTAGGGCTTGGGGTTCAGGGTTTAGGGATTACGCGGGGTGGGTCCTTATCATGATAATCCCTAGATGGACCCTTGAGAAAGTGCTTGCATTCCCTCCCACATTCCGCCCTGAACACCCGCAAGTAAACCCTAAACGGCCTTTGGGCCATTCTTCGTGCCAAGGACCCCCTCAGACATCACTAGGGCATGTCCAAGTAAACGTGAGCTGCTCAAACATGAGCGCTGGCCACCTCAGTTGTCTAAGTGTGAAGTAACCCTAAGGGTCCTAGGACCCAAAAAGCAGGGTTCTGGGGTCCAAGTATTGTAATGTTAGTAGTATTTGGTCCCTAAACCCCTATTATGTGGGTACTTGGACCCTTAGCTTAATCTAGGGGGAACCAAGACGACGGTGCCGTACCTAGGATTCTTCGCGGTGGATTAGAATTGTCCCTAACGTATTCTTGATGATAAAAGAATCCCATGGCCATTGATATCCTTTAACCTCTTCTACTAAGTTATCTTGATGGGTACCCCCTAAACCCTAAACCCTAAACCCTAGTAATATCCGTACCTTGACTTGACCTAATTACAAGAGACCCTCATTGTAGCTGCAGCGGGAGCTTACAGGGTTCCAGGACCGAGGAACCTTCAAAAGGAAGTTCCCAAAACTGGGTGATCCATTCTTAGGTGTTGCTAGGCCTAAGGGTCCAAGGACCCAAAAAATCGCAGCGGAGACCTGCTGCACTCAGGATACCAGCCAAAGAGCATACAATTTGTCTCCGTTGTAGACTGGGACTTGAAAAGATAATTTGGAATCTACGGCTTGAGAGCAGGTTGGGAGGTCCCTAAACCCTAAACGCCGAAATTAATATTACTAGTACTATTATTATTGTTATAATTATTAGGTCACCCCCCCCCCCCATGATCCACACTTGTGTTTCTTCCTGTTCTCCTTGTCCTAT